GATTTAGCTCAGTGGTGCTGCACCTGCCTCGCAAGTGCAAGGTCATGAGTTCCATCCTCAGTACTAGAAAAAAAAAAAGAATTTTCTTTTTTCTTTGCCTGATATAAGTGATAGGAAAGATCAGACTTTTTCCTATGCATTCAACACAGAACTTCGCCTCTGGTACTAAAATGAGGGAAGATCTGGATCAAGGTACTGATTTCCGTGGGTTGGGTGCCTCATGTGTTATCTCTTGGCCTGTGTCCTCACACACCAGGCGTTCTGCAGCAGACACAGCTGGTGTCGTATAACTCTTTTTTCTTCTGACACTCTCCACCTGAAGTTAGTGTCATTTCCCATAGGTTAAGGACTTAGTCCTATAAGAATTTCAGTAACCCCCCCCCCACACACTTCAGGTATCACTTGCATGTAGTAAGATGTCACCTGTGCTTCTGACCAACAATTATATAAATTAACACTAGGATGGCTTGTAGAACCCAGAGAAACACTCATGTTTACTGGTTTATCGTAGTGAGTATTACAAAGGACGCAAGTGAGCAACCTGATAAAGAGATACATAGGACAAGGTATAGAGAGGGGACACAGAGCTTCTGTACCCACTGCACATGCTCCAGATAAGCACTGCTCCAGACAACGACATGCGTTCAACCATCTGGAAGTGCTACAGACCCTGTCCTTTTGGTTTGGCTGGAGACCTGGTAAGTCGCCGTGTTACTCAACCATGAGCCTACTCTCCTCCCCATTGGTGGGAGGAGGAATGGTGGGCTGGAAGCTCCAACCCTGTATTCTCAGCTAGTTCCCATCCTGTCCAGGAGCCCACCAGGAGTCATCTGATTAGAACCAAGAAATTCCAAGAGATTTAGGAGCTCTATGTTAGAAACTGAAGGTCAAGGACCAAATTTCGAACAGATCCTAAAATAGAAGGATTTTAGGAGCTGCATGTCCAGAACCAAAGATGTATACTGTGTCTTCTTCCTGAATGTTGATGGACCCTTCCAGGCAGCATCAGACCCCTCCCCATGCTCCTCTGGTTCCTTCTTCCTCAGGCAGGAGTGGGCCCCTAAGTGTGCAATACGTGGTTTCTTCAGAAAGAACATCCAACAGGTAGGTGTGAGGTAGATTACTGAGCAGGTATGAGGAAAAGGCTGTGCCTAAGTTCAGAGTTTACTGGTATCAAAAGTTACTTGTTTTTCAGTATTGTGATTATCTCCATCACTGGCATTGGTGGGAATCTGATCTTAGGTGTCACTAGCATTAACGATGACAGGGCAGAAAGTCACGTGCACAGTGGCTGACCCCCAAGAAGTGTCAGTGAGCCTAGAGAACAATGCTGCAGGGGAAGAAGCTGCTGTTCTGGAGCACCCAACTGAGCCATTTGGTCAACATAGTTGTAGTTTGGCTTTCAAATTTGATGTATGAAAAATTCTCTATCAAATCAAATTTAGAATAGATTACTTGTAAGAGAATCCTATTTCCAGGTATCACCTTTAATATAATTAAAATATGGTTTAATTTATGGAAATTTATTTTCACAAAATTTTGGTTATTTTACAAATATGCTTCTGTGTTAGAAACATTTTCTTAATTTTAATATTAAATTCCAATACTAATTGGAAAAGTAATTTGTATTTCTCATAAGGAATTCAAAAGTATGGAAATGCATAGTGGAAAAGGTGCTTTATCCTCCTTGTTACTAATTTACTGGGTATATTCTTGCACATTTCTGTGTATTTATAAACATTTACAACTTATAAAATATGTGCTTGTGTGTATATATATACATACATATATATATATACTGTTTGTGTATGTATACACACAAACACACACACACACACATGCACACACACAAACAAACAGTATTTTAAGAATAAATGGCCAGGGCTGGGGGTTTAGCTCAGTGGTGCCGCCGTCTGCCTCTCAAGGTCCTGAGTTTGATCCCCAGTACCAAAAAAAAAACCAAGAATAAATGGCCTCTGTTTTTATAGGTTGAAAAATCTGCCTCTGTCTTATATTACTAGATGTAGTACTTTCTTATAATTTATCGATGATTTTTTTAGAAAATAGAAGTTTATTTGATGGTATTTTCAAATATGAATTTGATGTAACATTCTGTACTGACTAGAAAACACAGACTAGTACTTACTGGCCTTACTGTGGTATTAAGATTCTGTATGAATAGGAACTCTCTGATGCCCTAAAATAGAAGAGGACCCAGTTAAATGGCCTGATGATTTTACTTTTATTTTTTATTGTTTGAGACAGGGTCTCACTGTCTAGCTGAGGCTAGCCTCAAAGTTGTGATCTTCTCGTCTCAGCCTCTCTAGTGCTGGCATAATAGGCATCCGTGTACCATCATCCCCAGCTCTGGCCAATTATTTTAAGATATGAACTTGGTGGCAGGAAGTAAGGGTTCTGACCCTGATCTTGTTGGGGAGCATTTATTGTTGTGAAAAATGCAGACTCCTAGGCAGAGCCTGAGAGGAATGGTGCTGTGGGTCCTGTCACCCGTAGGAAGGTGTGCAGAACTGGGGCAAGCTGGTTCTGAAGAAAGATGGCTGAGGAGGGAGTAGGGAGGACTTGAGGGGAGCAGAGAAGAGCACATCTCTGTTGAGAGCCAAGGCTGCCTTGTGGACTCCATAGGAGCATGCTAACAGCGTGAGACTTCAGAGATGCAGACCCGAGAAAATATGATTCGAGCTTTCTTTGAAGATCAACTTGAGAAAGTTAAGCTGTTTATAAACAAGAACTCAAGGTCTTGAGTAAGTAAATGGAAAGATTCCTGTTTTCTGGGATAATTGTTCTGGTAGTCAAATTTAGTCTAGTTGGGAAGCCAGACAAGAGGCCATTTCGGGGAAGTAGACAGACATCAAAGAGAGGGCAAGTATATCAGGTGTTGAGGTCTGCGTCTTCAGAGATGTTGTTTGGTGTGTTTACTCTGAAATTACAGAAGAAGGAGCACATGTGATGAAGACATTCTGGCTGTCAGCAACCAGAAGGTGCTTCGTATTTGCTTTTTTTTTCTTTCTGATGTCATTGTGGTTGAATGAATTTAGAGGGAAGGGACAGAAAGATACAGCCTCACAGTAAATGTGGGAGAGAACACAGCTGAATGTTTTCTTTAAGGCTTAGCATACCCTTGAGTGGCAACCACCTATCCCATTCCTGATTCGACTTTTAGTGTGCTGAACTACTTTACAGAAATGTCGAGGGCCAGGGATTTAGCTCAGTCATTCCGCCTTGTGCGCCACAAGCAGAAGGATCCAAGTTCGATCCCCGGTACCCAAAAAGAAAAAGAAAAGAAGTGCTGAGAAATAGCAGAGAACCATTTGGGGATGAATTGCACAGAGTTAGTGTGTGACTAGATGTGTCTGGCAATGCCTCCCCCTGTTCCTGGAGAACGTGCAGCCCACTGTTATATTCATTTCCACCAGGGTCAGAGTCCTTTTCAGCAGCAGTGGTAGGAACTACAGTGATCATCTCTGGGGCTTTTCTTTCTCCTGATCTTTGTTGTCGTCATCGTCGTCATCGTCTCCTCCTCCTCCTTCTTTCTTCTTCTTCCTCTTCTCTTCCTCCTCCTCCTCCTCTTCTTCTTCTTCCTCTTCCTCTTCTCTTCCTCCTCTTCCTCTTCCTCTTCTTCCTCTTCCTCCTTCTCGTCTTCTTCCTCATCTTCTTTCTTCGCACTTGCCAGGCAGGCACCGTGCCGCTGAGCTACGTCCCCAGCCCTGGCTTCTTGAATATCGTCTGTCTCAACTTCTCACCTATTTCCTTGATTCTGGGAGGTTGCTGCCCCTTTGGTTTTGGTTCTTTTTCAAGGATGGATTTAGGCTAATTTAATCAAGAAACAACTTATTCCAGCTCCTTCTAGCCCACTTCATGGTTGAAGCAAATCAAGCACTTCATGCCAGGTAGCATAAGGAACGAGGCTTGCATGGGCCATAAGCAGAGGGAGCCCAATCCTGCTGCCACTGCTGTCTTCCTGCCAAGACCCGGGGTGAATAAACTCCATGGCTTCTGGGACTGATGTGGGTGTGACCTGCATCTTCACAGTGGCCTCTCTGGGACCAAAGACTGACTGCTGATAGATTCCATGTTCAGTTATTCTCAAATTCAAACATGGGAGGTGGAGTGTATCTCAGAGAAGACTCTTGGAAATCCCCAGCTGCCATGAACTCCCTCAGCTCCTAGTCCTGTGCCTCGTCCAGGGTCCCCTGGCTAATTGATTTGAGTTCTGTGTAACTTAGGAAAGTCTAGACATCAGAGCCTTTTTTGTCCTTTTCTCAGGCACCAATACAAACGTGCTGTAATCCAGTGCACCTCTAAACCGAGTGTGTGATCATAGCATTGGTGTGGCCTGTGTCCTTTTCTTTCTTTGAGACCTCCCTATCTGTGCCCAGAAACAGTGCTAGCCTTCCTCTGCAAGGATGTTTTATATTAGATCCAATGGCAGAGGAAATATTTTTCACCATTTTTCTAAATACAGTAGATTTCTTTTTGCTTTTTCAAACATTTCCAGTATCCGTGGAGGACTGTAGTTACAGCAGGCACAGGGTGGGGTGGGAGTCCTTGTGGAGAGGAGCTTCATGGAAAGGTGCTGGCTGCTCAACGGAAAGAGGAGAGTGACATGCGGGTGGGGTGAAGGCTCTGAGCCCGGGTGTCCACAGCATGGGGAATGCCGTGCTAATGGTGATTCTTTTTAAAGTGGTCAGTTTCATGTATTCTGGGATGTTTCATATCCCAGGGGCACCCCTTGAATAGTCAGAAACAGAAGGCTCTGGTGGCCTTTGCTGGCCCTTGGCTCTTCTGCCTGCAGGTTCTGAGAATGTGACCAGTCAGGTGCTGCACATTTCAGCTTCTTTTTCAGAGACTGTGTTCCAGAGTGTTAGAGCAGAGTGTTTTAAAGAAGTGCTATGTAAATGCAGGGTACACGGTAAGAATATTAAACAGCCTACAGGACATTTACCATTGTTGGGAGTCATATGTGTGTGTTTTTCCCTTAGGTTCATTTTCCAGACACTGAAAGAGCAGAATGGCTAAATAAGGTAAGATTAGAGTATTCCAAATGCCAGAGATCAGTGGGAATTAGAGTATGAAAGACCATCTTTCCATATTTGGGAGTTGGGAGTCTGGCTTCCACTCTCCTGGGAGTGTCGTCATAAGCGTGTGCTTCATTCCTTTCTGAAGAGATCTGGGTGGTTGGCGTTGCTGTACAGCTTTGTGTCTCTTCCTAAGCAGAGTACACTGAAATGTATTTTATAAGCAATAACAAGTAGAAATTCTGGGAACATTATGAAAAGGGAAATAATTCCCCAAAAGCCTAGCCATCTCTATAATATGTTCTAAGATACATTTTCAGATCAGTACAGGTTGAACTGGATCTCTTTTACCTTGTATTTTGTGCATCACTATGACTATGTAGTGAATATTAGTCTAGATAGAGATCACCCTACAGACCTGGAAGTTAGTCTGGCTTTGAAAGAATTCATGAGGCTGGGGATGTAACTTAGTAGTAGAGTGCATTCTGAGCGTGTGCAAAACCCTGGCTGGGTTCCATCCTGAGGACTGGAAAAAAAAATTCATGGATAATTACTGAGCTTTATAAAATTTAAGGTTTCCAGTAATGAGCTGAAACCACAGGATGTTTAGTGATTGTTAATTCTGCTGACATGCTTAAACAGAATATTTACCCAAAATAACTAATTCCTGTAGTATATTGGTTAATCAGTAACAAATAAATTGTAGTACATTTTTAAAGTTTACTTGAACTTTCAAGTGTAGATTTTCCATGAAAAGACCATTTCCTTATATTTTCCAAAATCAAATTCTAGTAAACTACATGATTCTAATTTTCACAGTGACTCAAGTATATTATGCATTGTAGCATTTGTTTACCATGAGTCCTTTTTTCTTTCAGACTGTAAAGCACATGTGGCCTTTTATTTGCCAATTTATAGAGAAGCTGTTTCGAGAGACCATAGAGCCAGCTGTTCGGGGAGCAAATACCCACCTCGGCACCTTCAGTTTCACGAAGGTGGATATGGGCCATCAGGTCAGTCCCTCCATCTGTGTCCTTCCTTGTGCTCAGGACTTCTTGTACAGTAGGATTGCTCTCAGAACATAACAATACTTTAAACCACATGTTCTGGAGGAAAACACTCACCATGAAGGCTGATTGGTCTGTCTGTGGTACAGCTCAGGATCTGTGCCAATGTGAACCCTTTTTAGGCTGCAGGGTCCTAGGTTGCCTCTTCACTGAGTCATTCTGGCCAGCTCAGCCTTCATGGCATAGCTTTCCATGTTTCCTGAACCTTCTGTAGTGTCCTGCTACCCCAAATTCTTCTGATAGAATGGTCTTTTTCAGATATACAGCCTGTCTTGCTAGAGAGTTTGAAATGTGACATCACACTGAAGGTATAGTAGTTGACAAGGAGCTTAATATGTTTACTTCTCCAGATGATAAAAACAACAGCCAAGGACCCTGATGCTGGGTTGTAGGATTGCATAGGTGAAAGATGATTTTGTTAATGGGATCATGTCATATCTTGTATGTATAAAAAGGAAGCTTTGGGTTGCTATCACTTGTAATGAAAGCCTGAGGATTATTCTTATATTACTTGATCATAGTAAGTTTCCTTTTTTAATTTTTTAAGTCAGTTCTTAAAGAGCTACCAACAGTTCAAGGTATCAGTGTGTTACATGACTAATAATACCCAATTCACGTAACCCAGGGTATAAACAGCACATAGGCATCCCATGCTGTATGGCTCAGGGTGTAGTGGTGTGACCAAGGGAGTGTCTGGTAGACTGTAGTGGTGTCACCTGCTGGCCATGTCAGTGTCCATCCCATGCTCTCCAGGCTGTGGAACATCTTCCCCCGTCCATGCTGCTTTTCTCCCTGGAGAGAATGTACTGTCTCTTCTGTAGTTACTCTAAGTACAGTCTCTCTAGCACAGGCTCACGTTTGCCTTTCCTAGAGTGTGCTAGCAGTTCCCTTAGCTTGGACACCTCTAAACATGGGGCATGCAGTAGCTGTGCTGTCTCATCTCAGTGTTAGTGCTCACATGTAATGTCAAGAACTTTATGGGCAATAGATGCCATTGTTATTTATATTTACAGGTAAGAAAACTGAGAAAAAGGGTTAGGGTTAGTGCTTACAGTTAAACAGCTAGTATGTTGTGAAAACAGAATTTTAATTCCTATAGTCTGATGCTAAAGGTTGTTCTTATCACCTCTATGCTATGTTATAAGGTAGGTAGGTAGGTTGGTTGGTTGGTTTTTTAACATCCCTGTGTTTTAAAATAAGCTACTTTTTGTTTCAGCCCCTTAGGGTCAATGGTGTTAAGGTATATACTGAAAATGTAGACAAAAGGCAAATTATCCTGGACCTTCAGGTTAGGTAAGTTTTTTATTTGTGTTATATTTGTGTCATGATTAGTAACGTATAGTACCACTTAGCTATACCCATCAGAAAAAAGACATAATAAACATGGTTCTTACCTGCTGGCTGTTATAATTTGACTAAATTCTTCCTGGAGATCCGAATTTTATACATCTTCTAACTCTCAGTTCGTAATAGCCTAGATAACTGACAATGAGAAAATATGTTCAGTAAAAGAAATTGAATACAGGAAAATTATAGACCAGTCAATATCTGACTATTGATACAAGAATCTTCAGTAAAATACTCGCAAACCTAATTCAGCAGCATATTAAAAGGATTATACACCATTACCAAGTAGGGTTTATTCTCAGAGTGCAAGGATGGTTCAGCATGTAAAAATCAGTCAATGTCATATACCACATTAAGAAAAGGAAAAAAACCCACAAAACTACATATTATCTCAGTTGATGCCGTAAAAGCATTTAACAAAATTCAATACTCTGAATAGAAGGACACCCACCTCAACATAATAAAGGCTACATATGAAATATCCCATAGCACATATTATACTTAATAGTGGAAAATTGAAATTCTTTCCTCTAATATCAGGAACAAGGCAGGGATCTCTGCTTTCACCACATCTATTCATCATAGCCAAAGCAATTAGTCAAGAAAAGGAAATAAAAGCATCCAAATTGGAAAGGAAGAAGTAAAATCATCTCTGTTCATAGGTGACATGATCTTATAAAGATCTCACACATATAAACTGTTACAACTAATGAATGAATTCAGCAAAGAACCTGGATGCGGAGTAACACACAGAAGTCAGTTGCATTTCTATATGTTAACAGTGAAAATCCAAAAGAGGAAGTTTAAAAAATTCTTTTACAATAGAATCGAAAAGAATAAATACTTAGGAAAAAACTTAACTCAGGAGATGAAAGACTTGTACAATGAAAACTTTAAAAAATTGATCAAAGAAGTTAATGCACATGTAAACAGAAAGATATTCCATATTTGTGGATTGAAAAACTTAATATTGTTAAAATGTTAATGCTACCCAAAGCAGTCTTATAGACTTAATATAATCTCTGTAGTCATAAATCTTAAGGGATTAATATTCAGAACATATAGGAGAACTCTTGAAAGTCAACAGCAACAAAAAAGCCCTCTTCAAAATCAGCAAAGGCACTGAATAGACATTTTTCCAAGGTGGCTATATGGCTAATAAGCACATGAAAAGATATTTAGCACCCTGCTTATTAGGAAAACACAAATTAAAACTACAGGGAGATACCACCTCACACTCATTAGGCTAGCTAAAGAGAAAATTAACAAGTGCTGATGAGGATGTGGAGAAATGGAACCCTTGGGCGCTATTGGCAGGAAGGAAAAAAATGGTGTAACTGCTGTGGAAAGTTTGGCATTTATTCAAAACCTTAAAAATAATTACCGTCCTGTCTTAGTCCATTTTCTGTCTCCATAGCAGAGGATCTAAGACAGTGATTTAAATGGAATAGAGCTTTATTTTGGTTCTCTGGCCTGGAGGCTGGGAAGTTTAAGATCGGGCCTCGTACTACTTCATTGGGGAAGGTGGAAGGGCAAGTGCAGGTGTGTGTAGAGCAGCAAGAATATGAGGGATGGCCTTACTTCCTGTCTACTCTCACAATCTCAGGAGCAAGAACTTACATGCATGAGAAGGGCATTAACCCATCAGGGAGGGCTATAACCACTATATGTATGCAGTCCATCGCTGACAGAAATGCTATGTAGCACATGACTGTAGTGATGCCAAGAATATGGATGTGCAAATATTTGCTCAAGTCCCTGCTTCAATTCTTCTGGGTATACATATGATGTAGTCTGAGTGTTTCTTCTGAAAATGCATGTGTTAGAACTTCATTTCTTGGTGTGGCGGTGTTGGGAAGTGGGACCTAGCAGGAAATGTCTGGGTCATGGGAATGGAGCCCTCACTGACAGATTAATGCCCTTCTCATGCATGTAGGGTCTTGGTCCTGAGGGACTGAGAGCAGATGGTTAGGAAGCAAGCCCATCCCTCATATTCTTGAGTGCAGAGCAAGCGTGTACTTGCCCTTTCACTTTCTCAAAGAGTGAAATAAGCAAACACTGAAAGGCCGATGCCACATGATTTCACTTACAAGAGGTACCTAAAGCAATCAAGTCCACAGAGACAAAAAGTAGGATGGTGAGTACCCAGATGTGGAGAGGAAGTAAGGAGTTAGTGTTTAATGGGTAAAGAGCTTTGGTTTGTAAGATGAGAAAATTCTGGAAGTGAATGGTGTTGAGGAGTGCACAATATTATGGATGTGTTTAATACCATTGATTTTTATTCTTACAAATGGTAAATTTTGTGTTGTGTATTTTAACACAGTTTTTTGAATTGGAAAAAAAAAGAAATTGAGGGTGTGCCTAGCATAGTAAAGATGAGTTTGTTTCTGTCCTCATTTTTGAACTCACTCATGCCTTCCTGCATTTTGTGTGAGGCCTGTTAGTCAGCTTTCTATCACTGAAAATAATACCTAAGATACCCTTGAAGGAGGAAAGGTTTATTTTGGCTCACAGTTTCAGAGGTTTCAGCCCATGGTTGCTTGGCCCCCTTGCCTTTGGACCTGTGGTGAGGCAGTACATACAAGCCAGCAGCATGTGGAGGAGAAAACTGCTCACCTCGTGGCAGTTAGGAAAGGGAAGAAGGAAAGGGATGGTATCCTGACATCTCCTTCAAGGGCACGCCCCTCAGTGACCTGACTTCCTGCCAGTAGGCCCTGTGTCTTAAAGGTTCTGTTACCTCCCAGTAGTATCAGAGGCTAAGAATGGAGCCATACTGTTTTCATCAGTGACATAAAAGAGGAAGGTCACTGTGTCTCAGGTCAAGCCATGTCCTGGAAGGCCTGTCTACAAAACTGATGATACAGTTCATTAGGAGGGAAACTTCTGTTCTTTGGTGCCCCCAGCACCAAATGAGTATTCTATACACATTGTCTAAATATTTGAATAAACCAGTTAATTGATGTCCTTTTGAAGATGCAGTCATAGCAACATTTGCATTCTGTTTTGTGTGTGTGTGTGTTCCAGAGAAGGACCTTTACTACATTGGCTGTGGAGATGGGGAAGGAGAAATTTAAAGAATTAGGAAATAAAGTGACCAACTCTTAGGTGAAGAAAAGAAAAGGTTTATAATAGGTCATTGGCAAATTTATCACTAGGTAGAGAATAATTCTCAGTGAGAAGAATCTGTAGGTATGGCTTTGACACTAGGACAATAAATATTGGAAGAATTTCATCCCAGATCCCTTTTGTTACTGTTTTGCTCATCTGCCTGGACACTCCCTGACCAGCGTTCATCAAACTCCACAAACGTGCCAGGCAGGAGTGTGATGCCCTGCTGCCAGGAGCCAAGGGTAAGGGTCAAACATACACCATCCCATGCAAACCTATATGGCATCTCATGTTTACATTAAAAATAGATGCAAACTTCACATTCAGTGTCATAGTAGATTCATGTTCATCTCCTGTTCATGTTTGAAATGACTTAATCCTTGCATAAAGCTGAGACCCTGAACAGACATGTTTTTTCTAACCTTTGATGTCACAGAACCTTGGAGCACCTCAGCAAGAATTTTCATGATTGAGGAGGAAGGATATGAAATTTACTGGTATTGAAAGGAAGTATAAACCTTTTTATGTGTTAAATAAATAGAATTCATAACTACCTTCCATCAAACTTCAAAAATTCTCATTGTTACTTACATTTCCCTTTGAAAAATGGACATTTATATTTAATTGATAAGGTTTTTGTATATAACATGTATATTTCCATGCATGCACGCGTGCGCGCATGCACACACACAACAGTAGTTTTCACAGGTTTTGTGAGGATTGCCTGAACCTGTAATTGGAGCAGCAAAATAGTATGATATGGGCCACATTTTTCAGTTTTTGCTTACAGACTAATTTTGGTTGCTTTAATATCATTTTATTCAGATGATATGCCTTTCAGTTCTATAGTAACTAAAAGTGTAATTAATTTCACTCACTTAATGTAAAATTTTTTCTTTGCCAGTTTTGTAGGAAATTGTGAGGTTGATCTGGAGATCAAACGTTATTTTTGTAGAGCTGGCGTGAAAAGTATACAGGTAAGTTTTTTAAATTTTCATTTCTGAAGCTCTCTGTAGTTGAAAAGAAAATTACAGTTTTTACTAGCTCAGAAGGTTTCAAAAGTACATTTTTATTTGTGGTCCTAGTTGGGAGAAAAATGGTCAGATGTTTGAAAGTCACTAAGAAGCTCTGTAGCTATGTTCTCTTATGTGTTCTGTTTCCTGTTTGAGTTTAGATCCATGGGACAATGCGGGTGATCCTGGAGCCCCTGATTGGAGACATGCCTTTAGTCGGCGCTTTGTCCCTCTTCTTCCTTAGGAAACCAGTAAGTCAACATTTATTCCATGTTTATCTGCCTGTTGCTGACAGGAATGTGGACAGAGAGTAAAGTGGAGAAACAAAATTCTATCCTTAACTCACTTTTTTCTCCTTCTAATAGATGAATCCTCTGAGTTTTTCATACTTTATTCCTTAAGTGAGGACTTCATCTCTTAATAAACAGTGTTCTTTCATTAGAATAAAAATAGTTTGTTGTAGAAAGAAAAGACAGACTTTCTAAAAAGGAATAAGGTTCAGCTAAATTTCATTCAGCACCAATCACTGTATGGTAGAGATTTGTTTATTTAATTCTCATGCCTCTGAAGCTAAATAGTGTTTACTTTTACTGATCAGGACCTGAGCCTGAGTCTTACTGTTGCACAGCTAACAAGTACTAGAGCCTGTACAAGGCCTAGATTAGTCAGTCATACAGAGCTTATGCTCCTGAGCACTTTGTGGTGATGGCCCCCCGCTGGGCTTCTCTGACTCCTCCTGAGTCAGAGGGCTGCTGCTCTTTGGGTGCACTTCCTTCCCTTTTTTGGGAGGAGTATGTTTGATGCACTGCACATACAGTTTTGTGGATTTTCTTTCATTTGTTTTTTGTAATATTGAGGATTCAAACCATGACCTCCATGCTGAGCTACACTCCCTGCCCTTTAAAAATTTTTTTAGCTGGGTCTTTAGCTCAGCAACACAGCACCTACCTGGCAAGTGCGAGGTCCTGAGTTCTATCCCTGATACAAAAAATATATATATTTTTTTAAATTTGAGATAAGATCTTGCTAAGTTCCCTAGGCTGGGCTCAAACTTTCAGTCCTCCTGCCTCAGTCTCCTAGTGTGCAGGGAGATGCCAGCTAGGACATTCTTAACAATTTAAAGAAACCCGCCCCCCCATCTCCTAGAGTGAAACAAAATTAAAATCTTTTAATCTTCTCCAAAACTTAATAGTGCTCTTCTATAGTTTGGGTCTTCTGCAGAGAAATTGACTTTTAAAATAATGTAAGTGGGGCCAGGGACTTAGCTCAGTGGTTCCACCACCTGCCTCGCAAGCACAAGGTCCCAAGTTCAATCCCTGGCACCAAAAAATAAAATAAAATAATGGAAGTGTATTAACTTTCAAATAAAATTTAATGACAGAAAAGAAGAATGAGGCTGAAAAGTTCAGAATCGCTCTTTTCCTTATATGGTGAGTAAAGTCATAGAAAGAACATGCTTCAGAGAGAAGGGAATTTTTTCTGTTACTTTCAACTGGAAAATACGAGAAGAGATTTACTGCTAGCTGCCAAATGATTCTTCCTTACCCTGTTGAAAAATACAGCTTAGAAGGGGTTTTTTGTTTTATTTTTGACTGTCCAGCAGATTCACAAGTATAGTGCCATACAAAACATACACATTTTTCTGCTTGTTGATTTGTTTAGTTTTTTTTGTTGGCGATTGAACACAGAGCCTTTGCCCTGAGCTACACCCCTCTCCCTCCTCCTCCTTGTTTTCATTTTTAAGATAGGATCTCACTAAGTTGCTAGGCTGTGTTCAAACTTGGAACCTTCCTGCTTCATCCCCCCAGAGTACTTAAATTGCAGGTGTGCACAGCCACATGCAGTGACTTATTTATGTTAGTTTTGATGATGATGTAGTACTTGTTAGGGCGGGGTGGGGGTGGGGAACTAAAAATTCCCCAAACCATCAAGAGTGGTGCTCTTTCAATTTTCTGCCACCTCAAATGAAATCCAGAAATCCTGGTGTTTAAAAACAAAGAGAACATTCTTTGACTTTACTACTAGCCGAAATCTGACACATTAATAACCCTGGTGGGAAAACTCACTAAAAAATAGTGGAGCCATCAGTTTGTATTTTAACAGGCTTTGGCAGATGACTTTTCCTCTGAACAGCATGGTTTTCATGAAATACGTGGATACATTTGTTGCTCTGGTGAAACCTGACCTGCTTTTATAATCACGGACCTGGCTACAGGTTCTGCTTCTCATAGAGGAGCCACTGCTCAGATACGGCTTCCTGTGCTTGGAAACACATGTTCCCCTCACTCCTTGTTTCCAGAAATAGAACTGTCAGTCATACAGAGGCCCTGGTTCCCAGTGTCCCCCAGGAGTCTTTGGGGAAGCCAGGCGGGGTTGCTAATTTTAGTTGCTTTTCCAAAGCCGCTTTACAGAGCTGGGGGCTCTCCAAAGCATTGCCTGTCAGGCTCCTGCTGTTCCTGCCTGGTGTCCTTGTGCAGACTTTTCAAACTGAGCCTTAAGTCTCACTGGCACACCTGTGCTGTTTTTCTCAGACCCTCTTTCTCACGTTGTCACACCTTCACACACACGTCCTCCCTCACTTGATCTGTTCGTACACTCATTTTCCACATTCGTCCTCTCACTTATTACCACATACTTGTCCTCTCATTTTATCACTCAGCTTCTCACATTCTCACAGTCGATTGCTTTTTCACTTGTGCTCAGTCTCACCCACTCTCCCTCCTCTTCTCATGGGCACTTACTCTCACACTCGTCCTCATACTCACACCCGTCTTTTTCTCCTCTGTACACTACCTGGATCTTAGACTCAGTCTCCTGCCCCGTGGCCCACCCCTGTGCTCAGGGATAAGCTGTGTATATCTTTTTCAGCACCTTGAACCTGGGACCCTTTGTTTGGGGTTTCCTTCTTGCACTCAGGTCCGTTATTATCAAAGCCCAGCTCAGTCCTACCCTGCCATGACTCCTGCTCCTGCCTCCCTGTGATTGATTTCCCTGAACTTCAGTAGCACTTAGGGGCATCCCGGTCATCTTAACAAGGCTGTCCTGGGAAGAAGCAGCTCTGTGTATCTTACATAAGCAATGTGACCCATACCAAGGTAGCGAGGCCTACAAGTAGTTGCATGCTAGGGCTACCCCGTCTGGAAAGACTTTGGCGTGAGGAAGCAAGGCACATTGGAGACTTGGGGGTGTAGCTTAGCACAAAACCCCCTTAAAAACCAAGCATGAGGATTTCCTTCTCTCCTGCTATTCAGCTGTGAAGTTTCGTCTAGGTCTCAATTTTCTTTTCTTTTCTTTCTTTTCTTTTCTTTCTTTCTTTCTTTCTTTTTCTTTTTCTTTTTTTTTGTTATTTTGAGAAGATTGAGCACCTTCAGGTGATATGGTCATAGATGTGTTGTTATTTGGCGACAGGGTCTCATGCAGTTCAGGCTGGCCTTGGACTCACTGTGTAACCCAGGCTGGCCTTGAATTCATGACAATCCTCTTACCTCAGCCTTCCAAGTAATGGGATTACAGGTGTGTGTCACCATGCACAGTGATTTTTCTTATCTGTGTAACTCAAACAGTTCATTAGTCTCAGTTTCTACTTTTTAGGCCAATTTTATATGTAGTTTGGCTTCCTTTTTTAAAAAGTTTTTTTTTTTCTCCCAGTAACAAGGACTGAAGGCTCTGGAGCCTCACACATGCTAGGCAAGCGCTCTGCTACAGAGCTACATCTCCAGCTCTTGCTTCCTTTTTTGAGCATACTCCAACAAGCCTTTTTTTTTTCCCAGACAGGATCTTTCTCTGGCCTTGAACTCACTATGTAACCCAGGAAGGCAGGCCTCGAACTAGTGGTGATCCTCCTGCCTCAGCCTTCCAAGTGCTGGGATTATAGGCATGCACCACCACACCTACCTTCAACAAGCCTTTCATATTCTTTGCAGAGTGGATTTTTTTTCTACTTTTGATGCCTTTTATCTTTGGTTCTGATGGCAGAACATCTTTTAAGATTTCCAGATAGTCTTGAAGGAGTTTTGTTCTAGCTGCCCACAAGAACAGCATTACCACTACCCATTTATGGAGATTTTACTTGGCAGATTTTTATTATTCAAGATAGTAGCAAAATGTTGACTTCAGTGGTACATCAGGCCTTTAAAATCTTTACACAATGATGGGCTACACATCAGCTGGTAAAGATGTTAACAAAACGCATGTGGATTTTATTCTGTTTTAAGAGGTGGGGCTTCACTGTGTTGTCCAGCTCAGCCCTAGGCTTCTACAGCCCTCGTGCCTCAGCCTCTTGGGCAGCTGGAACTACACATGCCTGCCACCATGCTGGCTACAGTGGTTTTTATATAGCACATCTGTGCATGGTATTTATAATGTTTCTTACATCAGTTGTGGGTATCTCTTCTACTCTCTGCTACCCCATCTTGTTGAGTAATGGCAGTACATCTGAGGAAAAGCTGATGAGTCAGTGTAATAAGAGACAGTTTTTTCATCTTGGGTTGTAATTTTGTTCAAACAAGGAAAATGTCAAAACCAGTGGCCAGGGGAATGGCCTTCAGACTGCTGTGAGAAGTGATGCTGTGATCTTTTGTTTTTTGGGGGTTTTTTTTGGTACCAGGGATCGAACTCGGGTCCTTGCACTTGCACAGCAGGCAGTGAAACCACTGAGCTAAATCCCCGGCAAAATATTTTCTTCTCTTTGGTACCGGGGATTGAACTTGGGACCTTATGCTTGCGAGGCAGGCGGCGGACCCACTGAGCTAAATCCCCGACCTGATACTGTGATCTTGGGAAGCAGGACCCGCCTTCACTTTCTGTATTTTTTTCTACAACTTGTCACTAGTTACATTTGTCTTTTATCCCCCACACCCCATTTTTACTCATAGTGCAATTCACTTGGCTGTTAAGGACTCTTAGGTAAAGCCAGTCCGTGTCTCACCCGAATCCTCATAGGTCCAAAACATCAGCTAAAACTAGCTACATGCTGACTTCTAAAGTTAGTCCTTGTCTTATCCAAGTGTTTAATAGGCCCCAAACTACCACACAACTACTTGGAACCATAATCAAATCTCATTATAACACAAATCTCAAGCATTCTGCATTATATTTTTTTTTTGGTTTGGTACCGGGATCGAACTCAGGACGTTGTGCTTTCAAGTCAGGTGGTGGAACCGCTGAGCTAAATCCCTGGCCCTCTGCATTATATTCTTGAAACAACTACATTAACAAATACTGTTAAAAGAATTCTTAATTCTGTTGTCCA